CCCAACTAATAATCTGAGCAATAGTAGAGAGGCTACCTTAAATGTCCTTCCCCTATAATGAGATTGATGACTACCTTATATGCCACCCTAGAGCCTTCATCTAGTAGCTGATGGAAGCAGAAGCAGACAGCTAAACAAAGATCCAAAACAAGTTGCAGAAAGGGAGGAGTGATGAGCAAAGGGGTCAAGATCAGGCTGGAGAAACCCACAGAAACAACTGACCTGAACAAGGGGGAGCTAATGAACTCCAGTCTGATAACTTGGGAAACCAGCATAGGACTGACCCAGACTCCCTGAATGTGGGTGTTAGTTAGGAGGACTGGGCAGTCTATGGGGCCTCTGGTAGTGGGTCAGTATTTATCCCTAGTATAAGAAAGGCCTCACCCTCTCTAGGGAGCAAAAATGGGATGAGATGGGGTTTAGCGGGGCGGGGACAGGGGAGGAAGGGAGGGTGAGGGAACTGGGATTGACATATAAAACAAGCTTGTTTCAAATTTAAATTTTAAAAAAATTATCAAAAAATAATAAAGACTTGTATCTCCTTTAGTTACAATGTGCTCAGATGAGGGTATGTGCATATATTTGTGATGTCAGAAGAGGCCATCGGGTCCTCTGGAGGAGGAGCCACCAAATATGAGTGCTGGGAACCCACCTTCCACCCTCTGTCGGAGCAGCTCAGATGGCAGCTGCTAAGCCACCTCTCCTGTCCCCAGAAATTATGTTTAAGACTGCAGCGTCTGTTGTCTTGTAACCATTATCTAGTGACTAAAAGGAAGGCCCTTGAGGAGGGCCATCTTCTCCCAGCTCACACAAATGTGTCCTGTGTGTTGATCTTCCACCCACTCCCCACTGAACTGTGATGAAACCCAGACCCTGCCAGGCACTGTGGTTTCATTTGGCCTTTTCATAGCTCAAGCTCGTCACATTAAACCTGTTTCAAGCAGTTAACCCTCTGTCTCTCTCCTCACTTCATTTCCCTCCCCTCTTCTCTCTCTCCCCTAGAGCTGGGCCTCCCCACCCTGTCTACTAAGTCACAACGGATCACTTTTCCTAGTTAATCTCATTTTCCAAAATTAACACGGCTTCTGCACTGCCTATTGTGGGAACATGCCAGATCCCGTGATCTGAGAAGACAGGAGGGCTCCACGCCCAAACTGTATTTATGGAGCTCCGCTCTGCCCCTATCTGCCTGGATCTGCTCCAGAGCCTTCTAAACGTTAATTCGTAAAACCATGAATGCATATACTGCTCACATAGGGTTACAAATCACCCTGAGTCACGGCTGGCTTCTGCTCTTTTATAACAGTCAAGCCTCAGGGTCAATTTCAACTCCAGTTAAGTTGCCGGCTGCAGCAAGCCTCGCTATAAAACTTGAACTTTAAAACAGCACATGGTTTGACCCTCAAGATTGTCGTCTTTTCTGTAAGAAATGCCATATAAAACCTACAGGTCCACTGTGCAAAAGGGTACAGAGCTATCACAAAAGAGTGCCTGCATCTGCCAGAAAAAGATGGGAGAGGGTAAGGCAGGTGAGCTGTTTCCCTGCAACACCGGGGTCCCCTGAGAAAGTCCCCAGCCACAATGGCAGAATGTTCTGAGCAGCCAGCTGTGCCCTTCTGTGTCTTGACTGTGTGAAATAGACAAATTAACATTTTTTTAATGTAAAAGGAAAAGGTGCTGTACACTTTGATGGAGATCACGCTCTAATTACTCATCAGAGAAGTTCGGGGCTTGTGTTGATGGATGCAAAGTCACCACAGTCCAAACTGGAGGGACCTTGTCTCTCCAGAGTAAATCATGAGTGACTGCTAGTGGAACCTGGATGATTCTGCAGCTCAGGTAGGTGTGGTGCTAATGCCAGGATCAGTGGACAGGCTTGTCAGCATATAAATGTAGGGTGTGGGTACACAACTATGCCCCTCTGTCAAGCCATTACCACTCTGTGCACCTAACCCCATTCTTGTCCCTGCTTCTTCTTTCCCTGAATAAAAAGAGATGGAGGCATGTTTTCAGTGATGTATCTGTTCTGCCACCTAGCCTTCAGTCATGTCATTACACCAAAGCGAGCTTGAGAAACTCCTCTGCCCTGACTCAGGCCTGCTGAACTTCTTTACTGGGGACTTGGTGCCTGTTGACCTTAGAGTAGGATCCAGATGAGGCAGTGGAGTTAGTGTGGCTCTAGTCTTTCTGTGTGTATGTATCTGGGAAACAGATAAGTCAATGGTCACATCCTGGAAGTTGGAACCGATGATGTCAACAGGTCTCTCTTGATTCTCCCGACCCTGTTAGCAGGTATCATCCTTCCCTTGAGCTCACACCAAAACCTTCCAGAAATAGCCAGCTTATGGAGGCCTGGTAAACTTGGTGAACTAAAACATGCCCTCTGCCCTTTGAAAGTTGTCCCCCAGGTAAACAGCACAAATCTTTCATTGGCTTGCAGTTCTTAAAGCTGGGTTCTAATTATCACTTAATTCTTGTCAAAGCAAAGGACAGAGCATGGTGGGTGATATTTAACTTCCAACATCTCTGAGAAGATCATACTCAAAGGTTTTTCAGAGCTCAGCTATATACCACAAGCATCAAAGCTCACCTATACACAAGCAGCAAAATTCATGCCAGCAAAATTAAGCCAGCAGTAAAGGCTGTCTCTGGGAGTAGATTTGAATCTGACTAGAATAAGCTAGCTATCTCAATGACACTTGTTGATGCTAACTCCCCCAAACCCCCACCATCTTCTAAAGGTAATTGTAAAGAGCCTGGAGCTTCTGGAATAGTAGGCAGAAAGAATGGGATCATGGGAGGCCCATATACCCCAACACCCTCCTCCTCACTGAATGGAGCACAAAGGTCACCTCACCAGTCCCCTCTCTTTGTACAAAATCACTGCAGATGATCCTGGGATGTTGAGGGAGCTACATCCTCTCAAGAACCCAGCCTGTGTCCTTGAACAGCAGCACCTCTGAAATCCTTCTGCCCTTTTGAAAGTGGTGATCAAAACTGCTGCTTAACACGACTTTCATTGTTCTCCCCCATGAGCCCACCCATCTTTCCCCATGACCCCAGTCGCCACCCAAGAACGAGCTCCCCGAGCTCTCTTAATTCTTTTTTTCTACCCATCTATCTTCTTTATGAACCACCTCCTCCTCTTTCCCTGGTATTCACACGATGTCTTTTCCAGCCACAAGAAGCCAGCTAAGAAAAAAAGAAGTTGTCACTGGAAGCCATCTTTTGAGAGCGCAGGATGACAGGAACGGGGTAATTTATGGTCCCTCAGAAGAAACACCCTAGTTTTCCAACTTACTTCAAATGCTACCCCACGCTGAGCTGAACCCACCCCTACATCATGCCCTCTCCCTGTTCTACCACTCTTCTCGCCTGAACTTGAAAATAGCGGTTGATCTCTTTTGCTTCTAAAATATCTCAACCCAATTTTTAAATATTAATTTGCTTTGCCAATAGTAGAGAAAAGCAGTTGGAACAAATCTTCCTACTTTTTTCCTTATTTTTTTTTTAAGTCAGTACACACAACTCTTCCTCCTTCTCCTAGCCAACACCTAAAACTCCTTCCGCATTAGGTGCAAAAGCACAACTTTAAACTTTGGGTTTGTTTTTAAAACGTGCCTTTCGGCAAACGGGGAACTGAGAATCTGGATTAGGATCTGCAGATGTGGACGGCACAGGATGAGATGCTCCCAAATGGAGCTAGCAAGGGAAATATTTTCTCAAAAGCAGTCCTCCAGAAAGAATTCTTATCATAGATAAGGGTGCAGTCTAGTGGCAAAATTCATGAAATGCAGCCCCTTTTCTAAAAGAATGGAGCACTTAGCAAGGGAGGAAGGGACTTGGAAAAAAGGCAAGAGCCCCACCCCAAGAACTCCTCAGAGATAGTCAATTGATCATTTATTTTTTGATTTGTGGTGGGCAGTCTACAGCCCACCTATCATGCCAAACTCATGTTTTTAAAGGCTGCAACCATTATATTCCTTCTTTCAAGGATTAGGTCTCCTTTTGTTTTCCTGGGGAAAGAATGGTCTCTAGAACCAACCAGCAATCTGGCGTTTCAAGTGGCATAGTGGGTCCTCGGATCTCTCCTGTCTGAGCTGTATTCCTTTGCACCCATTAACCTGAAGACAAGGTTTCCAGGAACTGCCTACCCCACAGAAATACCCCCACGGTAGCCCCAAGAGTGTTATCACTAGTCTACCTTCCTTCTATTTAAAAGAACCTTAAGGTGTCTATAGGAAGGACACTTTAGACTCGAGGTAATACTCCGGTCTCAGTCATTACTCCCAACAAACCTGGATAGGTATCGCTTCTTGAAAGTGCACAACACACACACACACACACACACACACACACACCACGAGCTTCCTTGGTCAGCTATGTAGGTGAAGGAAAATGGCCACTGAATGGAACTAAAACCAGTACCCCAACAGAACACCCACAGGCTCTTGCCGTTATCCCTTTTTAGACTTTTGATGAAGGAGGGATCTTCCCCTCCCCTCCCCCCCTAAATTCATCCCAACAACCATCTTGGGCTAGTGTGCACTGCTTGTCCCCCAAACGTAACACACAAAACTTCAGTGATCACGTACATGCCTTTTCTCTAAAGGTTGGAAAAGGCTTCTTATGAAAGGTATACATGGCTAGTAAGAAAATGTGAGTCCTAGCAGCCAGGGTCCAGGATGGTTGTGGGGGAACCGAGTCACTCCGTTGTATTCAGCCAGCTCATGAAGATTCCTCCCTCCACCTTCTCCCTGCTCCCTGTAGCTTCAATCTGTCCCGCAAGCCTTTTTCGTACATTCCATGGGGCGGAGGGCGCTGTTCAGGGAGCGAAGGGGAGCCCCCGTGTGTCTAGAAGGCCTCTCCCCGCCCCCACCCCGTGTGAGTTTGTGCTGCAAAGCTCCTTGGCATCCTTGCATGGGTTGGGTGTTGGGGAGCTCAGATTGCAGCTACAACTGGCTGGCAGCCAGGGGCCGTCTATTTAAAAGCGCCTGCTCGACCAGAGCCCGCAGTCTCTTTGGAAACTTCTGCCGGGGGTAAAAAGAGCTAGCAAAGAGCTGCAAAGCTGTTTGGGCTTTTTCCCTTTTTTGTTCCTGATCGTAACCCCCTCCTCGGTCTGCACCCTTCTCCGGACTTCACGCAGAACCTGCGTGTTTCGAAGAGGTGGTGGCAGAGTGGGAGACAAGAGGTGTTAGGGTCCAGGTTTGGTGAGGTTTAGGTTTTTGCTGATTTATTTTTTCTCTTGATTTCAACATTTTCCCCCATCTTCTTGGCAGCCGCCGACGCTTCTTACCTGTTCTGAGGCAGCGGCGAAGCTCGCAGCAGAGGCTTGGAAAGGAGTGGGGGTGTGTTTGAGATTTTAAGCAACAAGAAAAAAATTAAGCCAAGTCCATTTTTTTCTTCATCACCCCCATTTCCACAGCCTCCGAGCTCATTATTTCTGTTGCTTTTGGGGTGAGCAATTCTGTGTTCCCCCCACCCCTGCAATTCTGATCCGATCCCGCCTCGGGGTTTCTTCCGTCCCCGCTCACTCTGCGTGCACCTGGCGCGCCTCTTTTTTTCACCCCCAACCTGTTGCAAGTCTTTAATCCTTGCAATTGGGACTTGCGTGCAGGCACCTGAATCCTCCTTGCCTCATATTTTGCAAGTGTTTGGGGGAGGGCACCTGCTCTACCTGCAAAAGATTTAAAAAAAAAAAAAAATCTCCAGGCGCCCTCTTGGCCCCTTTCTCTACGCACTCTCGCTCTCCTGCCCCGCCCCAAGGTAAGCGAGACTGGAGAAAATGGTGCTCAGCGCGGTCCTCCTGCTGCTGGCCGCCTATGCCGGGCTGGCTCAAGGCCTGGGCTCTTTCGTGCACTGCGAGCCCTGCGACGAGAAAGCGCTGTCTATGTGTCCCCCCAGCCCTCTGGGCTGCGAGCTGGTCAAGGAGCCTGGCTGCGGCTGCTGCATGACTTGCGCCCTGGCGGAGGGACAGTCGTGCGGCGTCTACACTGAGCGCTGCGCCCAAGGTTTGCGCTGCCTCCCCCGGCAGGATGAGGAGAAGCCGCTGCATGCCCTGCTGCACGGCCGCGGGGTTTGCCTCAACGAAAAGAGCTATGGCGAGCAAACCAAGATAGGTGAGCGCTCTCGGGATGTCAGTTGCACACGGGGAGGGAGCGGGGTGCGGGAGGAGGCTTGGACGGGTGGGGACCCGGGACGGGTTGGGATCCGCGCGCTTTGCGCAGCAAGTGGCTTAGACCCGATAGCTCCTGGGAGTTGATGGGGTAGGTCCTTGCACTTCGGTCTCGAAGCCCTGCAGATCCTGCTATCCTAGGCGTCTGTCTAACCCAGCCTCTTGCAGTTTGCTCTTCATCTCCTCTTAACCTACACCCCAGCCCGACCCTCCCCCACTCCTAACTCGTGGCAGTCCTGACTGCTCCTATTGAGTCTCAAAGTCCAAACCCATGTACTCTGAAAAATAACTGGTTAAATTATCAACTCCCTTCTCCACCCCATCCCCATACCTTGTTCCCTAAAGTTGATGCGTCCAAGCCCCACTCCCCAACCCGTTGCCTCCAGACTTTCCTATCCCTCCATTCTTACTTACTCAGGGATGCATTCGCGCGTGTACACACACACACAAACACACACACACACACACACCGCATCTTAATAATTAATGCCTATGGTGTAGAGGTGTTGAGGCCTCGCCCATATTTACACTTGCTGCTTTTGAACTGATGATTGATTATGATCGATGATAAAAACACATTAGACTGTAAAACGTGTCTTTTTTTTTCCTCCCAGGAAGAGAAAGAATACTTCAGGAATGCTGGGGTAGGGCGTGGGGTAGAGGGTGAAAAGGGTTTGGTGTTCTGTGCTGAATATTCTTCCCTGAATCTAGTGGCTTTTTTCTCTCCTGAATTCGGATTTTACCTAGGATTTAAAAAAAAAAAAAAATGGACAGAGATTTGAGAGGTATTGAGAGATATGGGATGGAGACATCTTCAAGTTCCCAGTGGATGCTTGTCCTCTCCATCCTCCCCTCCCTTTCTCCCCACTCCACTCCACCCTAGCACTCCCACCCCCATCAATCACTTATACCAGACTGAAAGTGAGTGTGGCTAACTAAATGCGTGAGGGGCCCTGGAAACACAGAATGCAAAATTCAAGGGGCGGAGACAGGAAGACCAAGCTCTGCGAGCCTGCCCTCCTCTTACCCCGCCCCTTCTTGCCCCGCCTCCAACTTCTGTGTGCCCGGAGTCTATGTTTTAAGTGATTGACAAAGCTTCTTGTTCACTCAGAACAGTTCTGCCTCAAGCTAGATTTCTCGGGGGAGTTATCTGATCTCATACACACACACACACACACACACACACACACACACACACACCACACACACACACGTGTGTGTGTATACATATACATACATACATACATACATACATACATATATATTGAGCGATGCACAAAATCTGAGCTAGGAAAGATTAACAGCTATTGACTCTCTCCTAGAGGAGTTAGGACTAAATGTTTATTTGTTTGTTGCAGTTCCTTAAAAAGACAAAGGCCTTCTCACTACCTGCTGTCCTCCATTACTCACAAGCACTCCAATGTGAGGAGTTGTGTAATTTTTAAATATTATTAAAATGCAAACTAAGGACCTAAGGACTGAGCTCAGCATCTCTCCCCGGGAAATTCAGGTTTTGATTGTCACAAGAAGTTGCATCATGAGAGAAAGGGGGACGTACAAACCTCAGAAGCCCCAGAGACCGATTTTCCGGATTATTTTTATTACATTCCTGCCCGCCGAAACGGTAGGAATCCATTATCTGGCTTGGAGACAAGAGCTGTGGCTAGCAATCCCATCACAGCCTAAGTGCGCAAGTTATGATTCCGCAGTATCCAGGCCGCGCTTTTATTTGCCCAGCCTTGCGATTGATAGGGAATAGTTGGGCTGGATGTGTGCGCACGCGCACGCGCAAATGGTGGACCAGCAGAGCGGCAGCATCCAACTTCCCAAGCCAATCCAGTGCACGCGCCCGCATACACACACTGGGGGGGGGGCGGGATTTTTATTCCGCGCCAGGTCGCTTTAGAATTTTCTGCAGCACCTTCAACAATCAACCCTAAGCAGCCAGCCCCCTCCCTCGTCCTTGCCCCAGACACAGAGCTTCTCCCCGACCTCAGCCCGCCTCAGACAGGTGCCTAGTCAGCTTGCGGCTGCACCCTGGCTGTTGTCCACAGTAGCTAAGGTTGATGCTTTCCTCCCGGATAGAAGCCAGCTTTTGGAGATCCTTCAACCCGAGAACCATTAGCTGGATCCCTAAAAAGCTAAAGATGACGTCATTATTAAGGAGAGGAAAATGGATAGTGAAGAGAGGAGGATGTCCTCCGGGTCTTTTAGAAGAAATTCCTGCTCCCTAGACCCCCCCCTTCCCCCACCATTGAAATCGGAGTAGTGTGAGCGGATGCAAGCTTTAATATACATATACTGTATTCATATTTGATATGCAATCAAAAGTACATATTATATATTCCTATATTATTCGCCTTATGTAACAACCCCAGCACAGCGTGTTTCTAGAATGAGAAGTGAGGAGCGGAGGAGAGTGACGTGGCAGGCAGCCAAAGCTTCGGAGGTGTGTGCAAGGCAGGCGGAGACTAGCGTTTTGCTGGGTACGTTGCTTGGCAACTGGAGAGGGCGTGGTTTAGAGATCGCCTGGTGCTGGTAGCGGGCCCCACCCAGCATTTTCTTTTGGCCTTTTCAGGGACTAGAGATAGACACAGAAACAGAGGGCAGTGTGTGTGTGAGAGGCTAAAGGGATGAGGGAGACAAGAGTTTCTGGGGCCAAGAGCAATAAATAAAAGTGAGCTTCAGTGGGTCAAGGAAGGCCCAAGATTCCCTGAGGACAGTGTCTAGCAAGGGCCTGTGGCTTTGGTGGTGGAAGCCCAGCACACTGGAGGGTCTGAAGTGTCTCCTGGGCTAACAGCGACATAACATCTGAAATATAGAGAGTAAAGGGTTGTGATTGTCAATCCCATCTTTGAGAAATCAGACAAAGAGAAACATAAAATGTGCTTCAGGGAAAGAAAGGGCGGGGGTGGGGGCATCACCTAAATGAAAATGAATTCAGCCTTTGCTACTTTGAGGGGTTTGGCCTCCATCAGCCCGGCTTCAATGCCAACCCTTCTCCAAATGCCACGCTGAAGTCCATCCAGAGTAAGGTTTTTTTGGACAAATCCATGTCTGGGTTGAACAAGATCATGGAAAACTGAGAGAGCCAGTATCCTGTCCCACCGCACACTCTCCCTTTGAAGCAAGTCTAGGAGAGCTGGCTATGCTGTGGCCAGCCAGAACAGAGAGCTGGGCTGGCGGGGTGGTGTTTTAACTTGACACTTCTTGCCTTTGCCCCCATCTTTCTGCTGTGTCAGCAAGGCCTAGAGGAGCCAGCACAGCTGGCCCGATGAAGTTTCTTTTCTTTCCAAGTCCCTTCTTTCCCCTTCAGTACCTCCCCTCCCCCTGACCCCTCCCCCAAACTCTGAGGTGTCATCCCCTGAGGGCAAGAGTTTTAAATCTGAGCCTCTGTAGTTAGTCCCCAGGCTTTAAACAAGCAGGTGGGCCCTGCAGCTGCACAGGCCAGGGCCAGGCTGACCCTCCAGCCAGAGGTCACTGAGCGTGTTAGAGCAGAGGACATGGGAGCGAGAATCCCTGCTGACCCAGTCCTGGCATCTCAATTCAGGGAGGAGGAGAAAGATGGAAGGGAGGATTTGGGGGGGGGGTACTTTGTACCTGAACAGTCAATGCCTGTGAAACATTAGGTAGTCAGTGTAGAGAAATTTTTAAATGTAAAGAAGGGATTAGGACCCTCCAGAACCACCACATTTAGAAGCTAGAAGGGAGGTTCACAACCAAGTATGAACAAGGCCCCCCCCCACACCTCCACACCAGCGGGAGTGGGGGGAGGTGGTTACCAGGAGCCACAAACAGGCGAGTGGGAGGGGTTTTATTTAGCAGTAGTTTGCTCTTTTACCAATTAGGCAAAAGCAGCAATTCTCAAGGGCTGTCCTAAAATTCCAAACTGGGTAGGCTATTCAAGGCAATAAGATTGCAAATAACCAAGGAAGCCAATACAGCTGTCTGCTTCCCTCCCCCAGCCATGATTTATTTCTATTACGATGTCACTTCTTTTAAAAAAAATCAACATAAATCTAGATGAGAAACTAGACATGTGTTTTTGAGAAGTGGTCTTTCCTGCCTGGCCACATGTCTCAGCTGCTTGCTAGCTAGCATTTCTCCAGAAATTGTCTGGATATTGGCCAAAGAACATTAAAGCTGCAAGAAACCCACAGCTACCATCATAGCCAAGGCCCTTACTTTATAGGTAAGGACACTAGGACCTGAAACAGGAAGCCACTTGCCCAAGTCAAGATCTGTGGTAGTCAGGACTTGAACTCGGCTCCTCCCTAGGAGCTGTGATGTTCTGTCCTGATCTCTCTGGCTCATTCCATCATCATTAGGGCTCTTGCCTATGCCTGGTCTAACCTGCAACCCAGACAGACCTTAGGCCAACCTTGCCAAACGCTACCATCCAATGGTAGATGTTCAGAAAGTGAAAGAAAAAACCTCTCCTTAGGAGTGCTCCATTTTGTGGGCTGGAAAAGCAGTGAGTAATCCAAAAGTGGGGACTCTAAACCACCTTGCTCTCAGGGGTTTCTTCTGTCCCTTTTTCAGGCCAGTGGTTTGGTCAGAGGAAGTGAGCAAGGAGGGTTTTAAAGGAATGGTATTCAGCACAGCTTCCAGGTCTGCGGGCCAAACCTCATTTCCTGAACACAAGGAGCTCTCCTGATGTGACAGGCAGGCCCTTGCAGCCCTGTGGCCGCCACCCGTGCTTCTCTCCGGAAGGAACATAGTACCTCAGTGGTCTACTGCCCATGGTAATCTGTCTCCACAGCAAAGGTCTTCCCCGGGGTTGGCAAGCAGGATAATGAGACCTGAGGTAGGATGGGGTGACAACGGTGATTACAGGGTTTCTACATCAGATAGAGAAGGGACCATCTACTGCAAAGGCTGATAAAGAAAAACTCACGAGCCAGGTATGTCCAGGCTTCTCAAAGGCCTTTGGCTGAGAGGTTACCGCTGGGGGGGGGGGGTTTCAGGTTAATTTGAAGCTATGCCAAGACCACCCTCACCTACCCAGAGGCTGAGGAAGCTTTTCCCTTTGGGGTTGCTGGAGAAGCAGGCAAATAACACTTGTCTACCTTCCCAGTAAGAACTACCAGCTGAGCCTTTATGCTCAACCAAATAGGTTATCTTACACTTTAGTCCTCAACCTAAACTGTCAAATAAATGGCCTTTCCCCTGCCAAATCCTAAAGCTGCCACTGAAAGTGCACCCAAAACAGGACCTCATAAGATATCTCTGCCAGTTTATGAATTTATATGAGTTGCAGTTATTTGAACTCTAAATTACACCCGTCAGGGCTGTAACAGCTCTCTGTCTCCTAGGATAGGTGTGTCTCCTTCCAAAGTATTTAGAATAATAGCACATCCAACTGGAATACAATACAAGCCACAAACACAATGTTTAATTTTCCAGTGGCCACAATTTTTATTATTTGTTCTAGCATCCAAAGTTTCTAAAGGTTAAAAAGGAACAGGGAATTAATCTTAGTAGTGTATCTTAACAGAGCATACCCAAATAGTATCATCTTAACCTGTGCCCAAACAATGATAATGAAATTATCAATATTCTTTCATATACTATCTTTGAAATTCATAGCATCTTTTTACAGTTAAAATATAAGACCTCAGTTTAGACACTGTTGCAGTGTAGATATACAGATAGACAGACAGACAGACAGACAGAAAGACAGACAGATAGATCATAAAACTTATGGTGTGTTGTTCCAAACATACAAGCTGTTTTGAATTTTAAAGTTAAGCTATTTGAAATGAACTGAGGCCTTCTAGTGTTCCTCCTACCTTAGGATACCGTTACCTACATTTGTTTTCCTCTTAGAAGTTCAGCCATCATTCTGATTGTTAAAATCCCTGGACATGACCCATATTACTGACCACGGTGATTTTCCTGAGAGAGCTCGGGGCCCCAGCAGATGCTGCTCTGTGGACCAAGCCTCTGCCCAGAATCCCTTCTCCCTTTCTCTGTATGCAAAAACACTCACATAGGGCAATTGAGCTAATTAGCATCCATCTGCAGCTGGGAGGCAGAACTGGGGAGTCTGAAACGCGTCTTCCATTTTGGGGGACAATGCTCAGCCAGTTTCCGGCTCTCCCACAAGCCTAGTGTTGTGGCAAAGAGCAGGAGGCTGCCTATTGGCTGAGAAATAAGACAAGGCAAGGTGGAGCAGAGCATTTAGCCAGACTATTTTTGTCCCTATCCAGGCACTGATCAGTGTCCTGGGCCAGTGCTATCTAGTAGAATTTACTGTGATGATGAAAGTGTTCTATCTGCACGGTCCAGCACAGTAGCAGCCAACAACTCGTGGCTGTGGGCGCTGGAGATGTGGAGAGAGCAACTGAGGCCCTCTGTGGCGTTGGCATTTTTATTTTTGTTTGTTGGTTGGTTTGGTTTGCTGGGGTTTTGTTGGGGGGAGGGGTTGTTGTTGGTTTTGGTTTTTTGGTTTTGGTTTTGGTTTTTTATTTTGTTTGTTTGTTTTGTTTTGTTTTGTTTTGTTTTTTTTTTTTTTTTTTTTTTTTTTTTTTGTATTTGTTCATTTCAGGAGCCACTCTGGCTCCTGGGTAACACAGTCTCTGCCAAACAGAAGCCTTGCTCAGCAGAGGTGCCTGTTTCCAGCACTGCCTGTCTCTCCACTCCCCTGTGCTTTCTTTCCTGTAGCGAGGTGATTGTGCTCTGAGGCAGGGGCATGGCTGAGATGGTCTCCCACAGCACTCCTTCAGCTATCCATTGCCCCGTTTTCATTTCAGAAGTCCTTCTAGACCCAAACTCTCTTGCCTTTGGGGCAGATTCATTTGTGCGCTGAAAGAGTATTTGTTGGAGACCATCCAAAAAGAAAGATGAAGATAAATGACAAAGCTGTGTGTCCCTAAGACCTTGATGTTTTGCATTCCAAAAGGGGAGCTAACATGAGAGTCCCAGGGAACCCAGCAGTTCTTTTAACTTCTCATGGGGAGATTCTGGGTGTCCTGTCTTCTGACTGGAAAGGGAACTGGACTCTCTCCCTGGGTGTAAGTGACCTGGCAAAGCCCTCAATTCCTACTGGGCCATGAGCACCCCACACTTCTTATCCTCTGCAGAAACCTTTCCCCCTGGCATCTTCAGGGAGGAGAGAGACAGGATGTGTTTCTCTGGGTCTCATATTCAGACACAGCTCTCTGCCCACACTGTCCTCCACTCCTGCACAGCTCTGTCTTGTCCATCCCCTTACCTTCTAGGTGCATGCTCGAGGCACACAAAGAGGGAGAAAGGATTGGTGAGATTCTCAAACTAGCAGGAAGGGAAGACACCCAAATGTCAGATTTTCTCATTTTATAGTCCCTGCAAATGTGCCCAAGTTGAAGAGGTTCCCGGTCTCCTGCGCCACCTACTGGCCACCTGTAGGTATAGCCCTGCTTCTTTCTAAAAGCTATGGTAGTTTCCTGGAAATGTTCTGTATCCCACCTAAGTCCCTTCAGCAACCTCAGTTAGTTTTTTCTTGGTGAAATGACTCAGGGGTAGCCAGGATATTTATGGACTTTCTTATAATCCAAAATCCAAGCCTTCCAAAAAATAAAATCCTGTTTATGATTCGGCCCCAAGACATCTGAGCGGAGATAGCTGGCGTTCCAATTCAATGCCTGCCTTCCAGCCCTTTAATCATCCTCACTCCTCTCTGGCCCACCACAGTCTCTCGAGTCTACAGGTGACCACAAGACCCTGATTAGTATCTCTGATACTAGACTCTCTCTCACTGCCTAAGTAATAGGTTTCTAGCTTTAGTGAGGTGAAGCAGCTCCCGAAACTGGGAGGCGCATCCAAATTTTAAGAATGCCCTTCACAAGCAACAAACTTGCAAATCAGGGGAGTGTAAGGGCCCCCAGGAGCCCAGACTTAATGGGACCCAGAGTTTTCAAAAGTCCTTTAAATTCCTTAAGGAAAGAACTCTAACTCTACCTACGTTCCTGTCTGCACAGAGCCTCCAGACTAGACACACCTCCCCCTGCATCCTGTCCCCATGTTCTGTCCCCAAGTCTCACAGTCAAGAAAACTGGCTTCATCCCAAACTTCCCTCTTTTAATCCCTACAGTACCAAATCCCGGCTTTGGGATTGGGCATCCCAACAGGTTCTGTCTGATACAGTGGAGTTAGACTCTGAGAAGAGGGAGGAGGGGCTGTGATCCCCACGCTGAACTTGACTCAGGGAGAGCCTGTGTCGTGCACTCCCCTAATCTTACTTTCCAGTAGTTGTTTCTCTTTCTCTCCTGTACATGAACACCTGACCCAGTGAAATCCGCTAGATCTATGCAAACCTCTCAAGGCTTCCTCCTTGATGAACCATAGATGCCTCGTTGTTAAGCTTGACAAGCCCAAGAAGAACATAGGCTTGGAAGCTTGGTGCCATGTGGTATTCTAACCATCTCCGGGTGCCTCCCCTCACACCAGATCTTCCTTTGGGCTGGGAGCTTGGAGATATCACACAGTGCCTTCTCCAAAACTCCTCTTTCCTTACACATTTGCCCTCGTCCCAACTTCCTTAATTCATTCGCCTTCTCTTTCATAACCGAGATACCTAGCTGACATCATTTCTGGGTATCTGAGAGATGGTGGGTTTTCCTTCACCCTATTTTATTATTTTGAGATATCCCAAAGCCCTTTTTCCTTGTTTGAGTATTTGAAAAGCAAAGGTGATAGAGTCTGGGCCCCCTTCCTGGCCCTACTACATCTGGTTGTGGGGCATCCTAGACACACCACCTGGGGACAGTGATCTAAGGTCTCCCCACTCTTAATCTCCTGAGGCTGCAAGGTTGGGGAGCTGAGAGGAGAATGGTGGGCACCGTGAGAAAGGAACGTACTGGAAATGTGTACTGAGATGGCCTAGGCAGGTGGCATTAACAGGCTAACAAACACATGAACAAAGTCCTGCTTCTCTTTTCTAAAGGTCATAAGTCAGCTAAGTATAGACTCTGTCACCAAGTTGATCCTATATATAACTGGTCTGGCCCCAGCCAGCTGTCAGCCCCTCTCAGAATGAGCTGACTGATGCCCAGCCTCCCGGGGCCCAGAGCATGGAGCAGAGCCAGCTCCCAGCTAGTGTGGAGGGATGAGGCCTCTGGGTTCCATCTGCTTTGTACCTCTCCAGGGCCTGCGTCTCTGCCTCTCCCATCTCCGAGTCCTCAGCATGGTCTCCATGCTCTCCACCCTCTCCACCCTCTGCTGCTCCTGTCCCTAGATACCCAAGTTCAAACAATCTCTCATCACCCAGCCCTGCTGTTCAGAAAGTACAAAGGCTGTTCTTGTCCATGTCTGGGCTGTGCCCTGTTTTCTTCCCTTGGCCCAGATCTCCAGGCCCTGACAGCTCAACCTCATGTCCCCAACTACTTCCTCATCTTCCGGGCCATGTCGCTGGCCAGAAAATGTTTTCCATACCTCCACCTGCTTTGGGCTTTGGCCTGCCTCCTTCCTTTCTCTAGCCTGCCTTCGCTCACACACTAAATAAAGGTCAAGAATCCTCCGATGAAGTCACTCAGGCTTCTTGCTTTTTTAGATGTCAAATATCTCTTGAGCCCCATGACTGCCCTGACCCCAAACCTCCAAGTCCTGCTCTCTGGCCCCAGAAGCTGATTCTTTTACTTCATCTTCCTGCAGAGAGAGACTCTCGAGAGCATGAGGAACCTACCACCTCCGAGATGGCTGAAGAGACCTATGCCCCCAAGGTCTTCCGGCCCAAGCACGCTCGCATTTCTGAGCTGAAGGCCGAGGCTGTGAAGAAAAATCAGAGGAAGAAGCTGACTCAGTCTAAATTTGTGGGAGGCGCAGAGAACACTGCCCACCCCAGAGTCCTCCCTGCGCCTGAGATGAGACACGAATCTGAACAAGTGAGTCTTGGGGATTTTGTCCTCCCTGCCCTGGCCACAGTCTGATCACACCTGAACCTTTCTTGAGAGCATCTATGGCTGCAGAGGATGATAGGCTAAACCAGTCAAAGGACCCAATGTGGTCATAGTGGCTCAGCTGAGGATTTGGAAGGATGCTTTTGAGAACATGAGTTTATTTGTCTGGACTGAGGGTTGATCCAAGTAAGTGAAAACAGGAATATTTCTTCAAAGAAAGTGACTATATTAACAGTGAGCACATACAACATATGTGACCCCTAGAGCTATGGCCCAGGAAGAGTCTGACCACTAATCCTAGCGCATCTGGAGAATGCAGCCTGTGTCTTCATTACTTGGAAGGGTAGAAAAGTTGAGGATGACTGACCTGAAAGATTAATGGGAAATCAGGGCTCGGTGTCTGGCTACAAATAGGCTTACTGTTCAACCAAGGTACCAGGCAGGTGAGGGAGAAGAAATAACGTTAATAGCTTCTGATAAAGGTGACAGATTTTCTCCCACAGTCCCTTTGGGTGCCACCCATGAGCCACAGGACTGCACATCTGAGTGGTTTCCACTTGGGTCACACCAGGCCTCTCATCCCTCCCGTTCACAGGGACCCTGCCGCAGACACATGGAAGCTTCCCTGCAGGAACTCAAAGCTAGCCCACGTATGGTGCCCCGTGCTGTGTACCTGCCCAACTGTGACCGCAAAGGATTCTACAAGAGAAAGCAGGTACATGCCTCTGTACCAGGCTCACAGGCCCCATCTCTAGGGTTTCTGATTGGCAGGTCTGCAGTGGACTCCAAGGACTTTGCATTTCTAACAGGACGACCTTGACAGTACTTATAAGGGACCACTAATCTAAGTAACTAGCTAGATTCCCTTGGGGCATATCTTGACCCTGTCACTTCTAGCCTGTGATCCCTTACCCCAGTTATTTAAAGCTCCTGGGGTCTTTAGTTTCTCGTGTGAAATGGAGACTAGCAGTCCCCATTACCCTGATGTGGAGAAGTAAGTGGTACATCTTGGCGAAGCACTTGGAACAGCTCCTGCCATATGACTCATCTTAAGCTGTGTCTGGCACATGATAGATAGAGCCACAGAGCGGTTTCCTATTTTAATGGCTAGAGTCCTCTCTTGATCCCTGGAGAATGTGAGGTTGGGGGTCCCAAAGCAGGGGAGATTGCAGGAACTACTCCAGGGCAGGACTCCTGAACTAACCATGTTCTCTGGGTTCTCCCATGAGATGGAGATCCCCAAATCCCCAAGAGTTGGCTAAGGGCTTACCTACCCCTTTCAAGTCTCAAGTTTAGGAAAAAGGTAAGACAAGAAGGGGCCTCAGGGTGCAACTATCTCACTGCTTGTCGCCTCTCCCCCCAGTGCAAGCCTTCCCGTGGCCGCAAACGTGGCATCTGCTGGTGTGTGGACAAGTACGGGATGAAGCTGCCAGGCATGGAGTACGTCGATGGGGACTTTCAGTGCCACACCTTCGACAACAGCAACGTTGAGTGATGCGTCCCCTCCCGCCCTCCCCCTTTCCTACCCCCAGCCCCAACTCCAGCCAGCGCCTCCCTCCACCCCAGGACGCCACTCATGTCATCTCATTTAGGGGAAATATATATACATATGTATTTGAGGAAACGGAGGACCTCGGAATCTCTAGCAAGGGCTAAGGAGACACTTCCCACCCCAACCCTGAAAATGTATTTCTTTTTGAAGCAAGTTGAGCGGACAGCGCAGGGATGACGAGAAGGAGCAAGAGGGATGGAGAGACGGAAAGAAAGCATTGGAGTAGACGAGAGGGAGTGGCAGGTAGGGTTACGGAGAGAGAAAGAGAAACAGAGACAGAAAGGACACCACAACCAGGGCTGGCTCTGTCCTTCACTTCCAGCCCTAGCCAGAGGTCAGAGAGGGGTTGGGATGCTCAAAAGTGCGGCATTCAGTGACACCCAGCTTAGACTGGTCAGGGGAAGAAAAGAAACAACTCCAGTGCCCTCTCCCTGAGTCTGTCACTCCCCCCCCTCCAGCTGTGTGCATGGCTAGACCCCTGCCCCTCCTCTCCTCTAACCAGAGCAGGGTGGTTTCATCCCCAAATCTACAAACACTAAAATGCATTCCGTCCCTCCGAGAACAAAGGAAACTGAGTGACTGTAGGTTTTTCCCCAAGTTGGATGAGTGAACTCAAACTGTGTACAGATTTTACTCTTGATGGAGAATTTTTTTAGAAGTCAGTGCCTGCCCCCAACACTGGAAAGACTTGACTTTCCAGGGTGACAGCAAGCATTCAGAAGCTTGTGGCCTCAGCCCTTGATTTCACTAGACTCATAGCTGGCCCAACAGTCTCTGTGGAGGAGGAGGATAGGCGGAGAAAGCAAAGGGGCGTGTACTTAACTACAAGGCTCCATGTAGACATATATAGGCATATCAATTATTTTCTTTATTTTTTTTTCCTCTTCTTTTCTTTCAAAGTATTGCATTACCTCTTTAAAGTAGTTCCCTTAGGGTACTGAAGAGCTTCCTCATTCTGGGAAAATCCATATTCAACTAATACAATCCATACCACTAGCTTTGCCTGCTTCTGAGCAGCCTTCCCCATGAGCTAGAAATTTGGCTCTTTTGTAGGACAGTGTCAGATCTTCTCATGATTCCCAACCTGTGTTTAAATGTATCCACCAAGCCAGGTAGCTGCCAGCAACCAGTGACGCATCACCTATGCAGCCTGGGCCATGCCATGTCACCCTTCCAACCCTCAGGAAGTAACTGTCTTACGCCATGATATATAAGCCCACCAGATGCATTTTTAACCCACTGGCCTGCCCAGGCCTTTCCTTCTATCTCTTCAGAACTATACTTTGAAAGTCTCCCACAGATGCCAAGCTAACAGGTCAGAGAGAAACTGACATGAGAGATGGCTGAGGTAGGGGTCAGGGCTTCCAGAGAAAGAACTAGAAGATGAAGCAGGGACTAGGGCCTGGGGGAACAGGAAAGAGACGGAAAGAGGGAAATACCAGTAGAATTTCCCTTGGCTTCTCCCAGCTAATAAACCTTCTCGAATTTGAGAGGGAATTCTGAGGTAGAAACTAGTGCAGTTCAGTCTCAGAGCCCAGATGGTGGAGAGCTGAGGCAGGATCTAGACTTGAGAAGCGTGGTTGGAAACGAGGATCAATAGCCTGACTGAGTATTGAAGGGACAAGAGGATGCGCCTCAGACACCACACCTTCAGGTCAACTTCAGCCCACAAGAGGGGACTGAGGCCCAAGAAAAATCCAAGCTCTTCATCTCTTCACCTGCTCTGCCCCATGCATACACCCTCTCTGACGTGGAGGATGGCGTAAAGCCCAAGACAACTCAGGCATACATCTTCATGGCTGTTGTCATTTGCCAGCCAGATTTTGATCCAAGAAAAAAAATGTCATTGTCCACTGGCTTCTTCAACAAAGGGTTGGCCTAGGACTGTCCTTGAAGATGGAAGACAGCCTGCCAGGAAGGGTGACTAGCACACTGGTACAGGAGGCCCCATTTTTGATGTGGACACAGCTCTTTGCTCTTTCTTGATGACATGGCATAGTAGAGGCCCCCTACAACACTGAACTTGGAATGACAAAAAGGGATAGCAAAGAAATAAACATATGTCAACTCATGGGAAATAGTTGGCTATGGAGCTTAGGGAATGTCTCCTATTGCCTGGACAAGACAGCTGGCTGGGAATGGAAGATGTAATTGGTCTTCATAAGACAAAGGGCCTGATGGGGATGGCAAGACAAGCACTTACCAGACCTACAGGGTCAGTGTACCCATCTCCCTGCACAATGTCCCCAGCCCCCGACTCACACTTCAGAATGTCTTAGGCCAGTATCCTAACCCTTCTCCATGATGTTCTCCTTTCTGCAATTATTTCTCTGGATCTTGAGCAATCATGTGACTGGGATTTGCCAAGTGGATACTGGGGTACCACTGCCCCTAAGAAAAGACTGAGCCAGGAACTGCCTACTCACCTACCCCTCCCAGGCCTGGACCTGACTCCTGAGAGGGGGGTGTTTTCACCCCACTACTTGCTGGACCTTGAATGAGCCTCTGCCCCCTTACCTGGACCCTTTGTTGTGAGCCACGGATGGAGGACATTGTACAGACACTTCGACCTTCCCCAGTACAGCCTATACCCCCAAACCTGTGAGTCTCTCCACTGCTTTTAGGGAGAAGCATGTCTAGGCAGCTACTCTCTCCCTAGAGGAAGCTTGCCTTTAACAGACAGATGGAACTAAACCTCCCAAAGAGGTCTGGCTGGACCAAGGATAGAGACCATGGAAATGGGGTTACTGAGAGAATAGGGCTTCTCCATGTCATGGGGGGAAAGGCAGGCTTGCAATGGTCCCACCATGCCCTGAGCAAGAAGCCTCTTGTCTCCATCAGAGGCCTCCAGTTTGGGACTGACCACAGCCATAGGTCTAAGTGTTCCCTGTCCCCATCCCCACTGTCCCTTGGGAGGCTTCTTCCCATCTCTTTTGACAAAAGCAGTAGAAAAGACAACTCTCTTCCCCCACTACTGCCAGGTTAGCTGAAAGAGACCCAGCCAGGACCGATTCTCCATCACAGATAGTCTTGACCATCCAGAACAAAGCAGGGAACCTAGGGAAGAGAAGCATGTATGTTTCTCTGACGGCCAGGCCTAGACAGACAAGGCTTGGGAACATCTGCCCCACAAGAGGCTGAGGAGACTCCTCTTCTCCCTCCAAGACCCTCTTCCTACCATGATCTATCTCCATGGTAACATCCTCACTACCAAGCTCCCTAGAAGATCAGGTTGCCATGGCAACCTCCAAACCCCCTGCCCCTTCCAGGCAGGGCAGCAGTCCTGCTCACTTAGACTCCTGGAGGGCTTTGGTGGATAACCAAAACTTGACAGAGGAGTGAGTCAAGGGGAAGAGACCCTCTAGCCTTCTGGCTTTCAAGAGAAAGGAGGTTACAATTTGAAAGATGGTAGAAGGGACAAAGTTTTTATCAACCAGGAGCCTGGGGGTTGTACTGTCTTTATTTTAAAACCACTAAAGTGCAAGGGCTCTTGCACCAATGTTACTCGGCCTTCTTTTCCCTTTTAGGTGCTTGTTTCTTTAAACATAATTTTCTTGGTTTTCCAATGGAGTATAGACGTTAGCCATTTCACAGACTCTGGCCTCCTCTAAAATCTTTCTGAATGGGGAAAAGAAAGGTGGAGGGTCAGAGGGGAAGGGGTCCCTAGCCACCCTTCATCCATTCACCCCACTTCTCTGGTCCCTAGTCTCCAGCCTCGTCCCCATCTCCAACACCATCACACCGTCACACAGTAGCCTGTCACCGGATAGCACAGTTCAGACAAGACTCCTTCAGATTCCGAGATGTCTACCGGTTGTTTTTGGGTTTTTTGTTTTGTTTTCATTTTTTTTTTTTTTTACAGCAGCAATAACCACAGCACATATTACCGTAGGTCTTTGTAGTGTTCCGTTCAGACACCATAGCTCTGATTTCACTTCTGTTTTTGTTTTCAACTTTTAAAGAAAAAATGCTTATACTTTATACTGGTGAAATGGATGAAAAACTAAAAATAAAACAGCAAGCCAGTTTGTGGAAAACAAAACTCGGGAAAAGAAGTCACCCCAGTGTGGAAGAGCTCGGCTCCTGTTTAGCATATTGTACTTAAGGAAATAAAAAAAAAAAAAAAGAAAGAAAAACTCGGAAGATCTCACATTTTATTGCAAAGTGAAGGTTTCTGTAACCTATTTATTCAACCTATAATTTATGTTACTCCTTGATCTTTGTCTCTTGTCCTGACAAAACATTTATTTAATAAAGTTATGCATTCAGTTAGCTTGCATCGCCTTCCTGCTGGGGCAGAGGGCTCTGTGAGCACCCAGGCTGCCAACAGGAAGGGAAGGAGAAAGGATCTGGACCTATGTGTCCTCCAGGAGGTCCCTGAGTGGAGGAAGGCCAGTCCTCACAGACAGTGCCCATTCTAAGTTGCCTCTTGCTTGAACCCTGTATCCGCACCAGGGGTTAAACCCTACAGAGCTGCTGAGACTCCAGGAAGCCAAATTACATACATAAAGCATATGGAATGGTGAACACACATGTGTTCTATAGTTATTGTTACAATTTAATCTCTGCCACTGTCAGAAAATACAGTAGTCTAACCCAGCCCTAGACAAATGAATCACCAGTCTCTTCTCCTTGGAGAACATGCTAAGGAAGACATTCCTAGAATGTTCCTCAGTCACTTATTCCACTTTACGAGCTCTTAATGCATAGAAACCTCTGACCCAGGTGAGTGCTAGCTTCAGCCCCTCCCAGGCACCCTACTTTTGTGATGGGGGGACTGCTCAGATTTAACCACGCCCTCTGCCTTCTGCCTCGGTTTCCCTGTGGCTTTTCTTTTAGGTTCTTTTAGGTTTAGGCTTTTCTTTTAGGGCTCTTTGCCCAGGTTCTCCATGGCCCATGGCCATTCTCAAAGCTATTAGGGCAATAGACTGCCCCTTACGTGTGCCTTGACCACATACTACAGGTCCCACACCGCTGGGGAAATGACAGTGGTGGGCTGTCCCCTCTGTCCCAACTCAATGCCTAGGCTCTCAGGAAGCGCTAATGTCCCTGCCCTTGCAGTCACGTGGTAAGACCTTGTTTCTCACTATAAGCATGCCCTTTGCGGGCCATCAAAAGTCTCTCTGAGGCTTCCTGACCCTCTGTGTCACAGAGCTGGGGACTCAAACACTGTGTTTGAAGCAAAAATGAATTGCAGAAGGTGTAAGCGCTGCTTCAGGGAGGAAACGTGTGCTGTGAAGGGGGGATGAGCACAGGACACTGCCGGTGTCTTGCCTGGGATAGTCTTCTGGCTTCTCCATCAGAAACTGCTCACCCTACTATTGCCAATGCAATGTCTGAAGGGATCAGGAGTCAGGATTTTCCACCCAGCTGTTCCTCCTTGAGGCTCATCTCCCTAGGGCCTCATGACCCTAACCCACTCCACATTCCTCCTGTCCCCCGGGGCCTTATCCGACCCTTATAACCCTCATCTTCTAACTCCCCGCTCACAGCCTGCAGCCATTCAGCCATCTGCCTCTTGGCTATTCTGCACAATTCACCATCAGGAGGCACAATCTGCATGACCCATTTCTGCAACTCACCTGGGCATTTGCAGTCTTGGCCGGAGCCTGGGATCCACTATCTCCCATACTCACCTACAGTGAATGGCAGTAGGTCCAAGAGCACATGGTTCTGCTACCCTATTCATCTCCTTCTTCTGCCTTGACCCACATAAGCCACACTCTGAGTCTTGGAACTTCCTTGTCTCCGATGATGTCATCACATCCACCCAGATATCCATGCCAGACCCTCAGATATCTGTCCCAACTCCTCCCTTAGCTCCCCATCCATGATCCTACCAATCAGCTGCTCCCTGCTAAATCTGAACTCAGCCACTCTCACCATCTTCCCTAGTCCTCATTCGGGTGATGTTCAGTTCTATCAGACTCAACTCCACCCATCTTCTCCATGTCTCATTCTCTTGATGACCTTCTCAGCCACAGTTCACATCCTAAACACATATCTAACCTTGACCATCCTTGGCCTTAATTATCTCCCAGCTTCCAGGCCAAAGTTCAAATCCCTCAGCAAGATACCCAAATCCCTCCTGATAGGTTCCCCCATGACCTCCCTTTTCAACTGCCCCTCTGCCTGCACCCTGGGAATGCCACACAGGTCCTCAGCCACGTGCAAGCTTCCAAGTTAGAGCATAGCTTAGGTTGAAAGCCTTCCATGTGTTGTTCCCTCCTTCTAAACTCCACCCCTTAGGAGACACACGCATTCACGAGTGAGCACACACATGCACACTCATGCACATTCGAACACATGCACATACATGAGTGTACACATACACGAGCAAGTGTGAATGCATGCACACATGCAAACGCATGCACACACATGCTTGCGCTCACACACACGCATATGTTCACACACTTGAATGCATGCATACACACATACACACATTTCTTCTCTATGTCTTGATTGCAATTCCCCTTACTACTCCAAGACACCTTCCATGACAGCACACATTGCTGCTCCCCATTGCACCACAGTACCAGCCTCCAGAGGGCACACCTCTGTCATACCCGTGCCATAGATGGTCAAGCATTGATGGTGGGCTGTTGCCAACACCGGGATGTAAACACTTCAGGACAAAGGACACCGTCTCTTTCGGCACCACTTCCAAGCACTGCATCTCAACGCTCAGGAGACAGCAATAACTACATTCAACACTTACTTTATGACAGAAATGGTGTTCTATTCTGCAAGCTGTTCTTCGTGATAGACATAATCTCAGTACTTAAAGATGAGGTTTTAAAAGGCATATATAGAAGTTAGAAATATGCACAGTTATACAACTCATAATCAGAGCAAAACAAATTCCTCCCCATAATAGACTGGGTTCCTTACTAGCGCTTTGTAGCTAGTTAATACCGAAGATACACTTAGCAAATGCAGAAGCTACATCAGGGTGTCTGCATGTCCAGCGGGCATAGAGAAGGGCCAGCCTCATGGACATGTACCTGTGACATCACCCAGAGCACCAAGCTTTGATGCACTGCTTTCTTATGACTATCATAAGGAACAAGAGGCCTCGTATAGTCATTTGTCCCAGGCTCTGCAAAAAAAGTCACCAGTCTTCTAGTAGAAATCACACACGAGGTATACATATCCACAGCTCCTAACTCAAATGCATCCTATGAGGCAGCGCCTGCATTTGACTTATTCTGGGTTCCTGGAACTCTTTTTAATAAATGTAAAGCCAAATGAGCTTAGCTGAAGTTCCCCTGCTGCCACATGGGGGCACTGTTGCCTCAGTGTTTACCAATGGTCGGTCTGAAACTTGGAAGGGTCATGCTGCAAGTGAGATTAGGGGACACATTCAATAGCCACACCCAGCCAGCCCACTCTTTCTACAGGGAATTAGCAATGGGCAGAGCAGGTTGTGGCAACCTTCCACAAAATGGTCTAAGCAAAGTGGCTGAGAGCCTGTAAGGAGAAGGGTGACCCCAGAAATATCCCAGAAGCCCTCTTACCTGGTACAGTACTTTACAGAAGTCTCTTCAAGATACGGCCTTGTTCCTTGAAGCTTAAAGCATGCCCACTAGGCTCAGGGTGTACCCAAGGTTGATTAACAAGAGGAACATCAAGAAAATGAAAACCAGTAACCAAGGTTTTTGTATGTGACCTCATGAGGATTAAGTTTATTCTGAGGGCAGCAGGACAGTCCCTACTCCACCCTGAAGTAGCTTTCTCCTGGCCTGTTCTAGAAATCCAGTTTTCTGGCACTGTGGAAGGTCCCCGGAGTCCCTGACATCTGCAGATGTGTTAGGTAAGTCAGTTGGGAGGAAGACTGGGTGAAGCAATCAAAGAGGCCCCTCCATGGCCAGAGGGATCAGATGCAGACTAGAAGTGGGGCTTGGCCTTGCACTGGGGAGGAAGATGGCCATGGCCCACTGCCAAAGGGTTAGGAGAGTCCCTGGACTTGACTGGGGCTTCAGGTGCAAACAGAAAGTGTGAGAGTCCTGACACAGAACATTGCTTAAAAAATAGCTTCCCCCACTCTGTCCTCTGTGACTCATTTCCAGTCTCTCGGTTCTTTTCTTTTTTGAGACAGGTTTCCCTGGGTGTCCTGGAACTCACTCTGTAGACCAGGCTGGCTTCTAACTCAGATGGGCCTGAAGTGTGTGCCAGTCACCACTGCTGCCACCACCACCACCACCACTCAGCCTGGATCCTTATCCATATAGATCTCATTGTGCTAGACCTGCTGATCTGGAGCCAGTTATTCCGTCCCCTCCAGGAGCAGCTTCTAAAAACTCAGACCTGACTTCTGAACAAGGCCAGCAAAGCAGGGTCATCAGCGTTTTCTTCCTTGGGGCCCAAGTGAAATTCCTTGTCCTGGGCTGAAAATGACTTCAGGAGTAAGAGAATCCCAATTCCAGTGTTTCCCATGCCCCATCTCCCACCACAATGTCATCTGAAGGGTTTTCTTGTTTTTTGTTTAGTTTAGTTTTGTCTTGTTTTGCAGGGGGGTGGGGTGCTTTCTTTGGGTGTTTGTATGCTGTGTGTCCAGGCTAGGCCTTCTGGGTGTTGAAAAGAGGAAGACAGGCCTATGTTCTCTATCACCACACACCCTCCTCTAAAGTGTCAGCTAGAGAGGTCCAAGAGGTTGGAAACCTTCCCTGGTGTGAAACAGCACAATCCTGGCACCCACCACAGACCTGGATCTGGATACAAAAGCATTTTCCTGTCCCTGTGTATGGTGAGAAACAATGACTTCCCTGTGTTAGGGGCAAGTTGGGCAGGAGGCTCAGTGGGCCTCCCAGGCTCCTTCCCAGAGATGCCCCAAAGACACAAGCAAGACACACGCTTTATTTTTCCTTCCTTTAATCTTAAGTAAAAGAGACACAGGGGTTCAAAAATAAAAATTTCTTTCCCCATTCCCAAGCCTGTCCAGGGCACCCCCAATGCCACCCTGTCCCTCCCTAATAGAAGCAGGAATGGAGGTTATCTGCAGCTGGGGAGGGGGCAGGGGCTTCTGAGCTCAGTGTTGGTCTCTTTCCAAATATAAATACATGTGTCAAAACTGGGAAACCCTCCACACGTGTCACCCAAGCCGGTGTTTGGGACGGGAAAGCCAGGCACAGACTGGCTA